CTGCTGCTGCTGCTCCTACTACTACCTCTACTGCTGCTGCTGTTGCTGCTACTACTACGACTACGACGACGACTACTACTACCACTATCACTAGCACGACGACTACTACGACGACGACGAATACAACCACGACGACGACGACAACTACTATCTCAAATGCGACTGCAACTACGATGACGACGACCATGACGGCGACTACAAGCACTGGCACGAATGGTGCACCCGAGACACGGCGCGACGGAATCTGGCATATACGTAGATGTCAGAACAGTGCCAGCAGACCCCAAGTTCCAAGTATCTTATGCTGCTCATGCGGCTTGATCTCCAACCTCCCAAACCCTAAATGCTGTGCCCTGACAGGTGGCCGAGGATGGCAAAGCATACTCCGCTTCGCAGTTCAAGGAGTTTTTCAAGGAAGACTGGTTGCCTCCTAGCTGCGACTAGCATTAATATTCCTTGGGGCTCCTCATCGTTGCTATAGGCTACAGTATAACGTAGCCCAACGCCAAGCTGGTTCAACCTTATGAGCCGAACAGGGCTGGCTTGAGTCCAGAGCCCCAAAACCCTGAGGCCCTGAACACAAAAATCCTGAGCCCTTCAAAAAATCACAAACACTAAACCTTGAACTTTCAAAACACTCAACCTTAAACCCCAACTCCTACAGCTTAAATCCTAAACCGAAACCCCAAACCCCAAACCCTAAACCCTAAACCCGAAACCCGAAACCCGAAACCCCAAGAGCCGAACGATGTGCGGTGTGCCGGGGGTGCAGGAATGGTGGAGTCGGAGTTTTGCTTCCGAGACCGTGACAGGGGGGGGGTCCCGTTTGAGCGTTCTATATGGTTTAGGAGTTTGGGTTCAGGGTTTACTGGTTTAGGGGTTTAGGGGTTTAGGGTTTAGGGTTTAGGAGTCAGGGTCTAGGGTTTAGGAGTTTAGGAGTTAGGGTTTAGGAGTTTAGGAGTTTAGGAGTTTAGGGTGTAGGGTTTAGGGTTTAGGGCGTATAGGGGTTTAGGGTTTAGGGTGTAGGGCTCATGGGGTTTAGGGATTTAGGGTTCAGGGTTCAGGATTTGCGGCGTTGTATTTCCCGGCCGACACGGAGTCGTTAAATTGGGTAGGCCATCCTAAGGGTACATGGACCCGCAGGGATTGCGAGACTTGGACCGTACTTTCCAGCACAATGTTTCAGTCCTGGCGACCTAGCTGAGTCATCTACACGGAGAATCGACTCATCAATGCCTTCCCAAGACAAACATGTACTGAATTTACTGCCTTGTGCCTTCTCAAAGCCCTGAACCGAGAACCCTAAACCCTAAAACCCTAAGCCCCGAAGGGGATTCAACTTCGTCGGTGGCAGTTAGCAGATGCTAAAAAGTTTCCGATCACTTAGGGGGCCTCAAGGAAGCACCCGCCAAAGCCACATTCAGTATTCGCGCTTGTGCCGACAGACGCTCCGATAGTCTATTGTCGCTTGCGGGCCATGCCAGCAAAGGTCCAAGTGGAATGCAGCAGCGTGGGCAACGCAAAGGCGCATTGCGGAGGACGGTAAGGTCTACACATTGGACGAGTTTGTCAGCTACTTCACATCCGAGTGGCAGCAGAAGCTCGGTTCTTTTACACTGTGCCCTTAACCCGAGCACCCTAGATACATCCTAAAGCTTTAAATCCTAAACCCCGCAAGCTTAAACGGACCCGAACCCTCTACCTGGTTTTTTGTTTGGGCACTTCCGCTTGAACTCAAGTTCGTAGGGATCCTTTGGACACACCGAGGAAGTGGGCCGAAGCACCGGTGGCACTTTGCAAAGAGTGCAAAGCAGCCAGCCACGCCTGATCAAGCGATGCTGAGATGACAAAGAGCCGGTGAAGAAACAAGTCGGGTTTAGGGTTTCGGGTCTAGGGGGTATAGGGCCATAGGGTTTAGGGGATTCTGGTTTAGGGTCTAGGGGGTATAGGGCCATAGGGTTTAGATTCTGGTTTAGGGTCTAGGGGGTATAGGGCCATAGGGTTTAGGGAATTCTGGTTTAGGGTCTCGGGGGTATAGAGTCTTGCTTGTGGCTTAGTTTGGGGTATGGGGTTGTTGAGAGTTGTCCCCATCTTCCTGCCGTCGGAGCTTTGAGGAGAGGACCCCGGAGCATGGACCCGGAATGATAGGATACCTAGAGTCTCCATCGTAGTTCCTTTTTTTGGTTTAACCAATTATATATTCAGGATTTTATATGGTATCCCCCAAAAGGAACTACAATGGAGACTATAGGTACCCCCAAAGTTCAAGTAGGTTCGATTGATAGCCATCCCTACTTTGAGGGCCATGCTATCAGGATTGGTGCCAGAACTCTTGCTAGGTGGAGGGCTTCTGGTTGCATCTACCGTAAAGATCCGAAGAAGACCCCGAGACGTCTTTGAAGAACACAGACTCACTTGGTGCCTTGGGTTCTGATCACGTCAGACTTCCTGTTTAACGACATGTCTCGCAGAGGAATCCCAACTGAATCGCCAAAACTAGTCAAGATATCATAGAGACCAGGTGACCAGAACATGGAATGCTGGGCCTTGGTCCGCTTGTGGAGTCTGGACTTCGGTATTCGGGGGATGTAAGGGTTTCGTGCCTGTGAGTAGCCACGGGCAATACAGGAGGATGTTTGGACTCGCTGTCACCGTACCCTGCGCCACAATCTGCTGCTAGCACTTGGTTGCCCCACCCCCCGGCCGCGGGCTGTTACGTAGGAGCGATAGCTGCAGCTTTGGACTCAAGCCACTTGGGCTTAGCTCTCTGGTTCTCTTGCCAAGCACATCTTGCTTGTCGATCCCGCCATGGCGCGTTCGACCTTCGCAGTTGCGGTGTTGATGCTGATGCTTCCAGCATCGGCACGCCGAAATAAGGACGGTGCTTCTCAGTGCAGAGCTTCATAACTAATATATAGTACAAACTATAAATATAGTGGAGTATAATGTACAGAACCATCTAGTAAACCCTAAACCCTAAACCCTAAACCCTAAACCCTAAACCCTATATTGTTGTTCTGTGTGGGGTTGGAACCACCTATGCGCACTAGCAGTATCGCCGGACCTAAACGCCCAGAAGAGTCCCCATAAATCCGGCTCAGGACTCAGGCCCCGGTTTAGGGTTCAGGGTTTAGGGTTTAGGGTTTAGGGTTTAGGGTTCAGGGTTTAGGGTTTAGGGTTTAGGGTCTAGCCCTAAACCCGCAGCCAAATCTCTCAACCCCCTTTACAGCAAACTTGGTCGGACTTCACTCGGGGGTCCTTGGGAGCGCGGAGCTAAACCCTAAACCCTAAACCCTAAACCCTAAACCATAAACCCTAAACACTAAACCCTAAAACCCTAAAACCCTAAACCCTAAACCCTAAAACCCTAAAACCCTAAACCCTACACGGAGGATGAGCTCTTCACCATGCAGGCCGAGGCCGAGAATTCAGCAGCTCGCGGGTTGCAGGCGGAGCTGCTTTGGGCTTTAGGGGCCAGTTTAGGGTTTAGGGTTTAGGGTTTAGGGTTTAGGGGCCAGTTTAGGCCTACCCTTAACCTACCAAAACCAACTTTTTTGTAGGCTCTGATTACAAACCCTAATATGGGATTTATAGGAACCTACTAAAAAGTCGGTTCTGGTGGGTTAAGGTACACCCTAAACCCTAAGCCCTAACCCCTAAACCCTAAAATCCCTTAAACCCCTAAACCCCTAAACCTCCAAACCCCTAAAGCTCCAAACCCCTAAAGCTCCAAACCCCTAAAGCTCCAAACCCCTAAACCCTAAACCCTAAACCCTAAATAAACCCTGAACCCTAAAGCTCCAAACCCCCTAAAGCTCCAAACCCTCAACCCCGAACCCAGGCGGACCTGGAATCCTGGCTCACGAGCGCGAGCGTGGGGCTGAGACAAGGGGATGCTGAATGGTGGGCAAAGAAGGAGTGGTGGTACATGGAGATTCTGTGCTCTTTTTAGGAGTGGTGGTACATGGAGATTCTGTGCTCTTTTTTGTTGGGGGAGTTTGTATCAGGTTACGATGTGCTAAAAACTGCTTTAAACCCAACTACTAAACCCTAAACCCTAAACCCTAAAGGCCTTTATAGAACCATGTGCTGCAGCAGTTCCTTGTCAAGAGCCCAGGACTTGTGGTGCAACGCTCTCGTATCTCCAGCATCTGCACTCGGTGCTCACAGGAAGCATGTCCTGGTCCAACGGTGAAGCAGTTCAGATGACGTTTCTTGGTGGAGCTTGAATCTAGGACATTTTTACCGTTATGGGAGCCTTATAGAAGGTCTATATACCTTATAGAAGCCTTATAGAAGCCATACTCCCAAACTCCCCACCTGTAGTTTCCATTAACTGAAAGTCATGTTCCGCTGATGAGTTGTACCAGAGATAGTCAGGCGTGGTATGCTTCGACACAAGAGGCCTAAAGACTTATAGTCTCGGAAAGCATAGTACATCACGCGCCAAGTCCTTCTGGAGCCGCTTCTAGTTCACGATCATATTTCTGTCCGATTGAAAGTAGACTCCTGAGTATGTCGAATACCAGAACAGAACGATCCGACCAGGGTTCATCGTCAACCTAAGCCCTAAAGCCTAAACCCTAAACCCTAAACCCTAAAGTCTACACACTAAGTCTTAAAGAAGGGGTTGGAATTTACAACAGCCTCCAGCTTGTCCTGAACCTAAACTCTCCTAAGCCGACATCCCAAAAGAAGTCCCTAAACCCTAAACCCTAAACCCTATGTCAGGAAGCCTTTTTCTTGAGAAATCCTGATATGAATACCCTGTAATGAGCAGGTTTGCCACGCTTTGCTTCACGAGGGTTCAGGGTTTAAGGGCTAGGTGTTTAGGGTTCAGGGTTCAGGGTTTGGGGTTTAGGGTTTAGGGTTTAGGGTCCTATCATGATTACCCTGAAATGTCTGTCAGCCAGGTTTGAGTACGCAAGGAAACAGCTCGACGCAAATCAGCTGCTCGCAATGTACAACGTTCTCGCACACAAGCTCGGTCTCGGCATTGATGTGGCTGGTCTTAAATCCTTGTAGGGTCTTGGCTTAGAAGAGCGGTTTTTCAGGTGCAGGGTTTTCGAGGTTACAGGCTTTACTATGGGGGGGGGGGGTTTATAATCACCCCCCAAAAACCTATTCCAATTATGAAGGCCCCTATATTGATATGAGGGGCTTTCATGCTTAGAATCAAGTCCCTAAACCCTAAACCCTAAACCGTCCCGAGACATGGGAGGCCGCCAGCGTCAGAGCTGCCGCGCTCCTCAAGAAGGATGCGTCTCCCACGGAGCTCAGCGATCTCTACGAGACTGGCCTTCCCCAGGGTTTAGGGTTTAGGGTTTAGGGTGTAGTACCCTTTTGCCCCTTTTGTTCTGTTTAGGTTCCCTTCGTAAAGCCAAGTAGTAGGAAAAAGGGT